GAGGAAACGACAGTGGAAAACAGGCCTGGACACATTCAACCTCTCCCTGCATTCATTCATTTACACCGAAGTAGCCAAAGACAAAAAAACGGCTGCAGCAGCAAGTCTACAGGAAGCAGACAGCAACAGGGCGAATGGCTGCTGCTGCTGCTGCTTTCAGGTCATACTGGAGAAATCGTTATCCAACTAAAAAAGTACATGTATCTGCTTCGGTTATGGCGTTTTAAATTAAAGCTCACAATAGACGACAGTAGGCTATTTAATGAGTTTGCACATGAGAGAGAAGCGGCATCGTTAACGAGCAGACTCACTTGAATGCACCATGCACTCTCACAGCAGAGGCTGGACTACGTGCTGCTGCAAACGCACACCCACCACCACCACCAACACCGACATTATTGAAAATCCCATGCCAGCATCTGTCATCTTTATTCATGCTTTCCCCCCGTCTGCTGTTTAGTGCAATCTCGGTTTGAAAAGAAAAAGAAACAGGAAATGCAGAGTTAACAGTTAACAATGAATGTCTCTTTATAAAGGCCTGGAATAGAGGAGGGGTGACGATAATGGTGTCACTGATGTATTCAATAACCGAGCCATTTTGTCTGGATCAGTCCTTTGTGACATTAAACGAGGAAGCGTGCATATGAAAAACTGTTATTTAAGTCGTGATAATTAGAAAACAAGTGGTTACAATTAAGGATATACGAAAGGTACATTTGGCATTTTAGTTGTTTAAAACACACATACCGACATTGGGGTCCACCTTGGCTGCGTTCATGGTGTCCATGAGCTCCCCGAGACTCTTCTTGTCTCCATTCAACTTCCAGTTTCCACCGACGAAGAATTTCCTGCTCATGATTGCGGGTTTTTCTGTGTGTTTGCAGGAGATTTAAAGGGTACTGAAAGCGCACTGGGATTTGACCTTCACTGGAGTAAAAAAGCGAGTGTGAGAGAGGGGCTCAGATTATTTATGAAGATGGAAAAGTTAACCCCTCCTCTCAGCCAGCTCCATTGGTTTATCACGGAACGCCCGTAAACGCGTCTTCCCATTTGAGGAAGGGGAAGAGCGATATGTCATGCTGCGTTCAAGTGCTGTGCCTAAAAACGTCCACACACAAGGATCTACCTGTTACATCGGGGCCCTGAGCAAACATTTTATTCACAAGTGTAAATATTTGAAAGCCAAACCGCATATCAACAGATGGAAGAATGAACTCAAAATCGGCCCAAATACATGACGGAAAAAAACGCCCGGAGACGTATTTATGTTGCTTGAATAGGACCAAAAACATTTTATTTTTATTTTGTGTTTGCTGTATGTTGTATATGTTTGCACTGTATCAACACCAAGTTACATTCTTGACTGTTACAATGAGCCTTGATGGTTTGTAAAAAAATAAACAACCATCGGGGCCCTTAGGTCAGAATATGAGGTACACATTTACCTTGATAATATTCTGGTAGATTGTACCTTTTAAGTTTAGTTGGCAATTACACAAATAATACAATAAATCTATAAAATAATTAGATGATTTGTGCACATTATTGTTAGACGTTTTCAATTGTTTTTTAAGATTCAAAAGGTTTTATTTTCATTAAAGTTTCAGTGTAGTCATTGGTAATACAAATCTTTAATCAGTGTAATATTCTATAAGCATGAAAATAAATAAAGTGCAAGTCAAATAAGGCAAGGGGTAAAAGGCAGGAATGGGTACATGGGTATAATCTAATCACATTAGAATCGGAGGATGAAACCCACACATGCAGATCACACAGCACACAAAGTGACATTTGTTCTCTGTTTTTAACCCATCTTAGTACCAGGAGTTTTACTAGGAGCAGTGGGCAGCTATTGTACAGCCGCCCAGGAGCAATGGTGAGGAGTGCGGGTTGTTTCGGTGCCCTTGCCTCATAGGGCACCACGGCCAGGGGTAGCGATGGTGAACTGGGGATTCTCTCCAGGTTAGCAGGTCCACGGGGAGTGCCGATTTTTAGGCTCTGTTCGGGCGACTTTGCAACAGGCAACCCTGACAGCTCACAGCTCCCGCCCCTTACTGACTGAGCCACTTGCCCGCAAAATGCTAGATAAGTTTATATAGAAATATATTAGAACAGTATATTTAGGGCATCCCTTCATCCCATAATTTAGTTCATAATGCTTACTTTTAGATTTAACCGCTCTGAACTACATCTTGCCACCCATTGCACCACAGCCCTTAAGCATTTTTGTTTACCAGCGGCTTTATAGCTTCTATTTTTTCTGCCATTTGTTTTTAGCTTTGACGAGAACACAGTTTCTTGTGATTAAAATTACTAAACATTGTTTCGCCAGAGATACATGACAAACATATTTTTTTTGTTTCTTTTGTACTTCTCACTGACCTCGCGCTGACATGGGGTTCTAACATTAATAATGGGACAAAAAAGTGACTCTTGTTGTTCATGGGTAACATCCATTGATGCTGATAATACAATATTGTACTTAAACTGAAGCAGCGGAAACTTAATATCGACAGCCGGTTTTGGAGTAACACAGTATAGGGTTCAAGGTTCAAGGTTCAAGGCCCTTTTTTACCTTGGCATACGTGGTGCCGATACTAGCCTAGGAGTGTATGTTATTTGATTGGGATGAAACATCTGTAGAGGCTCATCAGCCTCCTCCAACAGCTGCCAACACAATACAACTGATTGACAATATGTGCAAGTAAATAGTAATACAAAAGAAAAAGTTAGTAAAAAAGCTGAAATTAGTGAGAATAAGAGTCGTAATATACAAGTGGATATGATATATCTATGATAAATAAATAATTTCTAAGTTCAGCAGCCCAGAGGGGGGTTAATGTTCGCTATGTATGTTGTGTATAATATAGTATATTGTAAAAGTATGATTTCAGCTTTAATAGCTGGCCCCCTAATATACAATCTTTTAAGATTGTGATACACAGCAACAAAAAAAGCAACAGTTTTCACGTTATTATCCACAAAAAATGCTGTTAAATATAAATAAATATGATCAGTGGTGATTGAGGGACAGATCCTGGTGACTCACCGTTTGATTCGCTCAGAAAACGAAGTCCGGGGGCGCCCATTTCCCCCGTCCCTGGTTACGCTCTCCTGATCTGGAGCGTCTTTCGGCCTCAGTTTTGCCGATACCCGAGCCGTGCACTGCGCGTAAAACATATCTCTTGCTAACTTATCTACATGCGAATAGTTGGAAGCTTGTTGAAGGAGGACATTTTACCTATGTCCATGCTTTGTATATGAATGCTGTGTTGTTTATTTTTGTTGCTGTGCTTACAATGAGTAGATGAAACATGACCCCATAACCAGGAGAGGGTGTGTTTCAATGCTACCAATACTGACAGCGGCACTATAAGTCTGGCAGCGAATCTTTTGCCCTCTTGTAGATAGTTTGTCTAGCCCAGGTTTCTCCGCTAAAGAGCAAGCCCCACATGCTTGCTCAAAATAAAAACTGTCACCATGGTTCATCATTAATGCGTCCGATATTTTAGATAACCTTAAGTACAACATCCACTAATATATTTCCAAAGCAGAAGTGGATCAGAATTGCCCCACTCACAT